AAGCTAAACCGAAAGTGTTTTCGAGTGACCAAACTTCGACCAATTGCGACGGCCAGGGACACGAAAATTGGTCATTCAAGGAGCTCTAATGGTCACTCGCGCTGAGTGAAATTACAGTTTTCTTACAAAGTAACGTCTTTTAGACAAAGAACGGATGTGCTAATGATGTACAATCTTATTTAACGGCATATCTGGACAGATCACGTTATTTATTTTCATATTGACTATTTACCTCTGCGCGTGACCGAAAACGTCCAAATGGGACGGCTGGCTGTCCATCTGTTCCCACAGGGTACGTACAACTGAGCACACGCGATACTAAAATGTTCTACTAAAAATCGCCATGGATTTCACTTTTGACGAAACCGTCCACCGACTATCGGAATTTTCGGAAAGCGTCCTTCCTCTTTTTACCACTCGATATCAGTGCATGAAACTAGCCACATAGGAGGGCGAAGATTTTATCACCTATGTTGGTAGAGTCTATTTCGAGCGCGAACATTTCAAGCTGTCTACCATGCGGCAGATCACTTCGTGTCTGATTTTCTTTTGCGGTCTCAACTCAAACTCCGACAGTGATATCAGGACCAGGTTACTCACCATGATATTTTGCTACAGAAGGTAACCCGTGAGTGTCAGCGTTTGGTAAACCTCAAGCACGTTACAGCCATATGCAGCGTTCATCATCCAGTTTTGTTTACAATGTCACAAGGACCTGCTCCAGACAACCCTTTGGAACAGCAGCCCATGTCGTAGCGAAACCACCAACCGCATACTGACAGTGTGGTAGTAAGGTTCTGCCCCAGTGCGCAATCGATGCGACCACAAAAAATCAATGCCGGACAACGAAACGTTCCAGGTCACATAGTCAAAATTACTACTCAAGCAATCACTCACATAGGACCGAACCCATATTCAATGCCGTGCTTGCAACAACTGATCCTAATTTTAGGCGCTACCTCAAGTACATACTTGCATGCATAAACCGAGAAATGGTTCGTTTGCAACTCGATACACTGTCCGATATAACGATCGTGTCCAAAATTACCTGGAAGAAACGGGGTTCACCAATTTGCCGTAAACTCATAATATGGCCAGAAATGCCGCTGGAAATGATAATAAATATTTTCTCAGCTGTACACCGTAACTGCACTTCGCTGCCGTGTGACCACCACCAGTCGCAAACTGGCTGTGTATACCCCGCGTGGACGCCCATTCCTATGCGGATTCGAACCCGCGCCGCAAGATTACGAGACAAACTCCTTACCTCTAGGCTACGGGCCGACAATGCACCTGGCAGTAAAATCCAATTCCTTAGCGTATTTGATTCTGACCTGGACATTTCAGGTGGGCACGATCGTGGTACAGTTTACATAGTTGCTTGTGAGTACAACCTTCTTGGTATTCAGTTGATTGCTTCTTTGGAATTTTCCGATATGGAGATCAACTAGTTGTTCATCAACACCTACTCAGATCCTGAGTGTCGAATCTGCCTGAGACAAGTGGACATTTTGGTCCTCTTGATTAAATTCGCTACAGTTTTTACGGATACCCTTGGATGCTGTTCGAAGGCGAAAACCATGTTTTATTTGCACCCAAACATCTAACCAATTTCCGATCAAAGAGACCAGTCCCAATTGCAGCTTTGATAATGTTTAACGCTAGGTCTAAACGCATGGAAGCCGAAGCCTTGATGCTAATAAACCACTGTTCTTGGGTCGCGTCAATCGTCGTTGTATAAAAGCCAAACGAGATTGTCAGAATTTGTGCCGACTACTCTACAAGAATGAATAATGCCCTCGACGGCCATGTTTATCCGCTACCATTGCCGCAGAACATTTTTACAAAATAACATGTGTTTCGCTTACCTACAGGTTGGTTTCAAGGGAATCTAGGAATCTGCATTATAAGCACCCACTATGCTCTTTTTTAATGCACTCGCGTACCCTTCGATGTAAAGATGGCCCGAGCTACATTTCCACAAATTATGGACACAATGCTTAACGGATTGGAAGGAGCGCCTCCCTACCTCGATGATATCATACTCACTGTATGAACGAAATCAGAAATGTTCACCCGTGTAGATGCTGTCTTGTAGTGAATATGATTTCCGACTAAATAGGGGGGAAATGCGTCCTTCTTAAAATCATTAACGCACTCTGGTTTCATCCTTAACAATGATGGCGGCTGACCCGACTCGGCAAACATGAACTCAATCATATAGAGTCCCCATCTTCAAGTGTTGCTGAACTTAAGTCATTCCTCAGGTTGATCAGCTATTATAACGCTTCCCTGCCAACTGTGCACTAATTACCTGAGTCTTTGAATCAATTGCTTACAAAGTGATGTAGATGGGCGTGGTCAATCGAATGTCAGTGCTTTTGAGCAAATAATAAATACTTGAAATCTGAACTTTTGTTGATGCATTTTGATCCAAAGCTTCCGATCATACTAACAATTGACGCGTCAAATCATGGAGTGTGAACAGTCATAACCCACGAATTTCCTGATTGAACCTATAAGGCCATAGCTCATGTTTCTCGATCTCTAGCCCCGTTGGAGCGCAGTTGCCAACAAATTGAGCTGGCGTTGGCCTTTTTGGCTCCAAGAAAAGCATATCATTGTACACAGAGATCTGATTACAGCGCCGAGCCTCAATACTGCTGAGCTACAAAATTTCGATATCAAGTACGTCTCCACAAATAGCATCGGACAAACGGACGCACTATCACATCTCAAAACCAAAAGAAATACTTATCGCAAACGTCGCCGTGGAACCCGAATCTGGAGCCACCGTTTTGCAGACTACTACGATCTCTTTTGATATGGTCGTCTACACAGCAACGGAATCGAACAACACACTCCAACAGGTGATGAAGTATCAGCAATCTCTGGCCATCACATTGGCCAACTGTAGAATTTCGACAACTTTTCCAGCGTCGGAGCGCACTATCTAACCTCGATGACTGCGTCCTTATTGCTGACAACGTTGTCTCCGTCGGAACGCCGCCGCCGAATCTTTACGCAGTTTCATGTGGGACATCCGGGTATGGAACCGAATGAACGCCTTGACGATGATTTACATCTCTCGGCCCGGTATGGATGGTGCGCCCGCCATCGCCCAACAAATATCCAACCGACACCCTGCCTAACCATGGCCAAAATCAGAGTGCCCATAAGTACGTCTCCACATTGATTTTTCGGACCGATTAACTGACAGAGTTTCCTAATCCTTGTGGATGTCTTCATCGGGAAATTTTTCATCATGGATTCAACGACTAAAATTGCAACAATTCCTAAACTACGACATATATTCCCTAGTTTTTCTTTCCCTGTACGTAGTACATTTCGCAGTCGTTCGCTAACCACATAAGGATACGGTATCATCCACATCAACGCACCTTTCCATCCACGATCAAATGGGCTGATCGCGATATTTGTCGACACATTTAAGCGTGCCCTGCTGAAATTCAGGGGTGGGGAGGGAACGACAGCGAAAATACTGGATGCGTTCCTACTAAACTAGAGGACAACTGCAAATCCGCAAAGTCCAAACGGCTGTTCTCCCGTCGAAGCTCTGATGAACAGGCAATTGCGTCTGCACATGATGTTATCCGACCACTTTCGTGCCAGCAATCAGTTGTAATACAAGAAAAACGGTCATTGTAATCAGGAGATCGTATGTTAGAGTATAGATGTGGCCACCAAAAGTGAGCTGTCGGCTTCATCAAAAGGCTTATTGGGCTTGTCTCCTACGACGTCCAGGTGTGTTCACTGCTGTGGAGGCACGACGCTAATCCACCTCGTCGAACTTGTCGTGGCCTTGATAGTGATGGTGAATCTATTCGTGTTGATCTGTTAATGGTGTTCGAAATGTAAAGGCCTACCGAGGTCCGAACTGCTTGGGACCTAGCACCAATGACAAACACCACACCCCAGCCCAGACGCAAACCCAACCGTGCACAGAAACCAGTAACTCCGTCCAAACCTGACCCAAGTTGGTGATCGTGCACCGAACAAGCTAAGGGGAAAGGTGCTAGGAGAGTTTGGTTTCTCGAGCGCAGAACAACGTACCTAGGGTCAAACACCGTTGATGCTCAACGGTCAGATCGCAACACCTCAACAAACTAGTGTTGATTTGAAATCGACACCCATTATCGATCGAGCATTAACAAGTGCAGCGTAATTTGTTTCATATCTGGTTCACGTGTTGGTCTCGAATAAACTCCAGTTTTGTCGCGGACTCACGTTGTTTGTTCTTTACTGGGAATTACTCTCTAGCAGAGTCCGCCACAACAATAGATCATTTGTTCTGTATGCCCGTTGGCCGGTTTCCTCGGCTTGCGTGATATATCTTGGCTATACTATTGGGTGAAGTTGCGAGGTGGTCTGTCGGTAACGTGGCAGCAAGGCTTGTGGAAACTAACCAAGAGTCTTGATCAGGTTGGTGCATGTGGTCTTCATGGGTAGTCCACACCAGTGGTTGGAGACTCTAACAGATACAACGCAGTCGCGTAGTGGTGTTCCTGCATTCGGTTTCTCCCATATAACTGTTACTTTTCATTCCATCCCGATTAGTAGACACACTTCTCCCTGCTTCCATTTTCTTTACCTTCTGTTTGCATCTAACCTCATTTTCTTTCCACCGTCAATTATTGGAATTCTGACAACATGCGTCGTGACAACTGGATCCACCGTACTTCGATGCTTGGATTCTACTTGTTTAACTATGCTGCACGGTCTGCGATTGTTCGGTCATCTCACTTGCATAACCTAGTGGATGTAGTCAAATTTGCCTCCACAAGGAAACCACCTTACTATTAGTAAACTGGCAACACTTCCTGTAGCTTAGCTCCACTGTGTTGACTTTAAATCTGTTACTCTCACAGGAGCCCCCTGCTTATCAGCAATGGTATGTGCCTTGCTTTTACCGGTATGTGATCCGCTAATTTGTCACTTATTCTACTTTTTCTTGTTGTATTTTTGTCTTTCGGTCCCAGGTTCCGGACTCGATGAAGAAACTCTTAACCAGAATGGAGACCGCGATTCTTCAAAAAATTCCCAGGCCCATGTCATCCTGGAGGAGGAGCTTCGTAGAGAACAACTAGCATCTAGTATGATCGGCATGACAAGACACTTAAAGGATCAGTCTTTGGCGATGAGCGATCGTCTGCAATCGGATCGAAAAACAGTAGAAGATAGTATCGTTCAAACAACAAAAAATCAAGCCACTCTTTCTGTTGTAATGAACCAGCTTTCAGAAGAATTGGGTTCACGATGCGCACGCACTGTATGGATTGCATTGTTTTTATCTTTAATCTTGTTCTTTCAAATGATTGCCTTTATGAAAATTTTTCGGAGACGCTCGCGTTGGTATTATGGCACTGCAAGAACAGAACTTTAGTACTTTTGATTCTACTGCGTTGCTGTCTTTCACCGATCTTCTTGTTTCCTTTTGCCTGTCTACCAAGCAATCCTAGTGCACTTTCCATGAGAAAAACTGCATACAGTTGATTTCCACCTGTTTTCTGCTTATGCTCACTGAAGATCAACCAAATCCCACCACCAGCTTGCGCGCTGGGGCTGAGTCTACGAGAAGATACTGAATTGGTGGTGCTCATTGCACAGTTTGCTTTATGGTTTTCTGTAACGGATTTGCGCAGACCTGGTCGCGTTAGCTTAGACGAGCGTTGCGCGAAACATGAGCACGGTCCCTATTCACACATGTATTCGGATGGCATACTGAGTCCTCGCGAATGGACAGCGATACGCACACGCAGCACATGACTACACCATTTTACAGGCCACCTCACGCATAGTGCTAATAAGGTAGCGTGTTACGAAAATCAAAATAACGCGTTGTGCATTCAAGTTCACGCGGGCACCAATTCATTCTCTCTATGAGGAGTTACATGCACGCGCAATCAGTGACAATCTCATTGGACATTAGCCAATGGGACTCCTTGGATCTAAGCACAGGGCTAGATGTATACTTCTATGGGGGGCAAGTATGCTCCCTAATAGGTTGACACATTAGTATTAACGAACGGCAGACAGGGGTGAGAGTCTCCATGCTAGAAGTCATCAACAATACGCCTGACTGTAGTTGGTCAACCTAGGATGAGATGTTTGCACGTTCTTTGTCAGCAATACTAACAGATATTTTGTCGGAAAGAGTTACCATTGGTTCGTATTCTGACCCGGTCGGTAGCCGGTGTCTCTGTGCCAAATTTTCAGCCCTTGTCCGAGCAGTCCGTAACGTATCGAGCGCACCACTTGCGTTTGGCCCAAGGTGCACAGTACTAGTGGCACATTTAGATTCCAGGCTAGTATTGCCTCTGGTCGGAACAACGTCATATGAAGATAATAATAAGAATAATGGGCATATTTCTCCTCAAGTGAAAAGCTGTGACAATATTTGGCACAGAATATACACGCGCGGGTGATGTCATGCCTTTCCAATATCAATTTATCTGCTTATATTTGCCTGCATTTCTGGCAACGTATTTTGGCCATATCTTTGTCATATGTGATGGTACGAGGCAAATTTGCAGTTTGAGTATGCTGTAGACACTGAGGATTCATTACATTGCGTGGATTGGTGATAGTACACCCATTAGAGGTGATCTGGGCTTTCATTGCATGGATGTTCAAATAATCTTCCGCACGAAAAAACGACATAATAGTATTCAGGTAGAGGTAGCTTCCAAACTTACTGCGAAGGGATTGCACAGTCTCACACGACCTGATGGTGAATGGCAACCGATTCCACAGCGACGAATATATGGTGAGGCGAAAGTTAGACCGCAAATTCGTCTCGCCTCGTGGTATAAGCAGGGTAAGGTATTTGTTACCTAGGTGTCGCATGTAATTGTGCTGCAATGTTAAGGATGAATCGATTGCAATGGGTATTGCCAGGAATCAGATTGCACAGCAGTCTCCAGTTATGTTTAAATAAATCAATCGTTTTCTTCTCGATGAAACGAGGCACACCAATACAGGCGTGATCAAGTGATTGTCAGTGCTAGAAGTCATCAACAATACCCCTGACTGTAGTTGGTCAACCTAGGATGAGATGTTTGCACGTTCTCTGTCAGCAATACTAACAGATATTTTGTCGGAAAGAGTTACCATTGGTTCGTATTCTGACCCGATCGGTAGCCGGTGTCTCTGTGCCAAATTTTCGGCCCTTGTCCGAGCAGTCCGTAACGCATCGAGCGCACCACTTGTGTTCGGCCCAAGGTGCACAGTACTAGTGGCACATTTAGATTCCAGGCTAGTATTGCCTCTGGTCGAAACAACGTCACATGAAGATAATAATAAGAATAATGGGCATATTTCTCCTCAAGTGAAAAGCTGTGACAATATTTGGCACAGAATATACACGCGCGGGTGATGTCATGCTTTTCCAATATCAATTTATCTGCTTATATTTGCCTGCATTTCTGGCGAAGTATTTTGGCCATATCTTTGTCATATGTGATGGTACGAGGCAAATTTGCAGTTTGAGTATGCTGTAGACACTGAGGACTCATTACATTGCGTGGATTGGTGATAGTACACCCATTAGAGGTGATCTGGGCTTTCATTGCATAGATGTTTAAATAATGTTCCGCACGAAAAAACGACATTATGATATCCAGGTAGAGGTAGCTTCCAAACTTACTGCGAAGGGATTGCACAGTCTCACACGAGCTGATTGTGAATGGCAACCGATTCCACAGCGAAGAATATATGGTGAGACGAAAGTTAGACCGCAAATTCGTCTCGCCTCGTGGTATAATCAGGGTAAGGTATTTGTTACCTAGGTGTCGCGTGTAATGGTGCTGCAATGTTAAGGATGAATCGATTGCAATGGGTATTGCCATGAATCAGATTGCACAGCAGTCTCCAGTTATGTTTAAATAAATCAATCGTTTTCTTCTCAATGAAACGAGGCACACCAATACAGGCGTGATCAAATGATTGTCAGAGCCACAGAAACAAACAGCGTATATACACCGTACCACATATATAAGTGTTCGCAAAATACACGGTTGAATAAATGGTACGTAGTTGTCCTTTAGGAAAGTCGCAAGGATAATGGGCATACCCATTGGAGTCAGGTAGATGTGTGACGCGGGAGCAATGTAAAATCTATAAGTGCTTCCGTTACACAAATGTTAGGTGGGAGTTCAAATAGTTCGGGAGATTGATCTCTATTATTCTGTGTGCGTATGAACCCGATAGAATGATTGATAAACACTGTTTGACGCATCTTGGGGAATGCAAGTATTTCCTTCAACAAACTGGTTTTGTTGCGCCAGTTAAGATGGCTCGGTCATGTCCTACGCATGGCACCTGAGCGTCTACCGCGTCGCGCTCTATTCGCTCGTCAAGGACCTGGCTGGAAGCGACCGCGTGGTGGTCAGCCTTTCACTTGGTGGCAGCACATGAAATCGCTGACATCGTGTCTAGCCGCTGTTGGATCGGTACATCTTTCAGGATGAGGACCCAAAGATGAGGAGTGCCAATGGCATAGGACTCTTGAAGACATGGCCCACAACCGGAATCAATGGAATAATTGTGTACAGTGTTGTATTGATTCACATGTTTAATACTACCAACATTGAAAATGACAAAAAAGAGAAAAATCGGCGGGTGACAAACAAACTGAAAAATGTTTTGTCCTGTATTTTTGTCAACATATTCCATTTTCTTGCGGCATATTAGCTGAAGTGCATTGCCCACCTTCAACTAGCATGCCACGATGATTATGACGCAATGACTGTCTCTTATCCACTGATTTCCATGGCTTTGTTGGCTCTATGTCTAGTTACTAGACTGTTGAGATTACATACATACAATGTATATTGACGAATGCGTGAGGTTTGGTTCATATGCCATTGTGTTCACAGATTTCAGTTATCGGGATCTTGTCAGTGTTTAGTCTTCGCAGCCAAAGCGGATGGAGATGGAGTTACTGGCATCACTCCCGAGATTTTAGGATAGACTTTTTTTCCAAATACGTGCTTAGTAAACGACCGTTGAAAGCTTTCTATAGATGTTCTGTCTGATTTCCTCATATTGCCTCTGATAATGCTGCGATACTCCAGTATGGGACGATTAAGGATTTTAAATAGTTCAACTATAGCTGGATTATATACATGGTATGAGAGATGTTAGCGAAGGCTTGTCTGGCTCGTGCTAACTGGTACTCAATCTGTTCTGAGAACATAAAGGCACAAGCATATCTGATTCCAAGGTCACGGGTAGACCCTTGTACACAGATGTGTTCGCTGTTACTGGTGGTAGATACTTCGGGTGTCAAGCGAACGCAACATATGATACTTGACCGTTATGCTTAAAACATCATCGTCCACCTATCGCACCAAGTGTCAAGCGAATGAATGTCTTCTTGTATGAGTAGTAGTACATTCGGAAGCTCAACTCCTCGGTACTTGTGGACAAATGTTATATCCTCAACAAATAAATACGATACGCCATGTTTATTCGCCGAACTGCTATCATTGACACAAAGAAGGGAAATTAATGTACCGAGCGCATATCCTTGTTTAATCCCACTGATACTTGGATGCGGGGAAGAGCAATAGGCGCCTAAGGGAACTAGTTTAGCGGGACCGTACAGGTATGATGATAGCCAATCCATTAATATGTCGCGAACTTCAAAGATATCTATCTGATTCGGTAACCGTTTGTGAGGCACCCGATCGAATGTTCTCTGCATGTGCAAGCATAGAATTAATATGGCATACTTTGAGTTAATGGAGTCCGGTTTGTATTGCAGGTAATGCACCTACCAGCATGTGTACGATCGTTAGTGAAGGAAACCATTTTAGGACCTATCTATCAACTCCGGTGATTTGATGTAGTTTCTCACACTTTTTACCTATTTCCCGAATAATCCGGCTATTATAATAGTGTTTTGGATTAGCCTGTTATTGTCAATTGCCTGTTTTGCGCAACCCTTGTGGCGACAGCTGCTGGATGAAATTTTGCATTGATCGGCGGATTACTTGGATCCCAGTGAAACGGCAAACATGTGTAAAAGTGCAGTGAAATATCAGGCTCTCCCAGTTTCATGGCGGATGGGGGATGCCATCAGCTTCCAGAATTGAGCACGGTTGAATGGAATGTGTTGCTTGGCGGATATTTCGGAGAGCAATAGCACTTTGTATGAAATCTTAGTGTAATTATAACGTTGGTGTCAAAGGTCATGTAGGTGGGAGAAAAGAGGTAAATGCACCTGGATGTCGTCCACCGTTTCAATGATCAATATAAATCGTTTGTTGGTTATTTGACGGAAAAATCACACTAAAGTTTTTGTTTTACATGTCATTCATAGGGTTGCCTGATCTTCATGTGTTCTCCCCATCAACTGTAAGTGCTTGATTTCAGAGATGTGTCGGTGCATCTGTGGAATCATGGTAAAATATCCTATCCTATTCTAGCGCGCGATCGGCTTGCTGGATTTCTGACTCATTGAACATTCGGCTGCTTCTTTTTAAACGTCACTGATTCGTG